CATCTCCTGTACCATGTCTGCAGTCTCTGACCATCTCCTGTACCATGTCTGCAGTCTCTGGCCATCTCCTGTACCATGTCTGCCCCCTCTGACCCTCTCCTGTACCATGCCTGCGCTCTCTGACCGTCTCCTGTACCATGCCTGCGCTCTCTGACCTCTGCAGGTTGCCGGTGATCACTGATGGTTGTGATGTCAGATTTGTAGACGTCTAACGTTTTTTTTCTCTCTCCTCTCGCCAGGCCCTCGCCGCCAATGCCGCAGCCGGGTTTGCCGTGTCGGAGCCTCAGGTGGCCATGTTCTGCGGGAAGTTAAACATGCACGTCAACGTTCAAAGCAGCAAATGGGAGCCGGATCCCTCGGGGAGCAAAAGCTGCTTCCAGAAGGAGGAGGAGATCCTGGAGTACTGCCAGGAGGTGAGTGCCGTGCCGTCCCGTCCCCCCTGTCCCCCCCCTGACCTTTTATACTGGAGACCCGATGACCCCCCCTACAGGAACAGAGAGGGAACTCCGGAAACTCAACACGCTTACAATAGACACAGCAATCTGCCATAGGATTTGTATTTCTGTCCATCCAGTCCTGAGGTTTACACAGCTCTGTCACACAGCTCAGCAGAAGACGCCGTTTTCTGTTACTATTATAGACTGGGGAAGGAATTCCCTGGAGATCCCGCCAGTTACAGCACTTCCTGTTGCAGGCTGACCATGCTCTCGCACTGCCTCCCTATAAGCAGCAGCCCTGCCAGTCTGCCCCGCGTGCTCCGGAGCCGTGCCCTCAGTGTAAGACGTATTTTGGGAGTTGGGGAGCTTAGATCTGATTTAAAGGAGAACTATGCGGGGAGTGATTTACGCTCATCCTGATAGATGGAGACGACGTGTGACAATGCAACTGTCGCAGGTCGGCTCAATAGATCGGGAAGTGAGGGAACACATACAGGCGTTCGCTCACCTCTCGATCATCTCCCTGCAGAGAGTGGTGACTCACGGCTCCCTGCAGGTATTCTCCCCGCTCCGATCCTCCAGCGCTGACTGGCGGAACGGACGGGGGAGGGGGCGGGTACAGCTGGCTCTGCCTCTAGATAGGAGGAGCCAGCTGTCAGTCATGCAGCTGGGCGGATCTCGACAGCGATGTCGGGATCCGCTCCGGCTGCGGCGTCTCAGTATACCGCGAGCTGTAGCTCCCTATATACTGAGCCTAGGGTGACGGGAGGACGCTAGTTTGTGGCCTCCCGTTACCCTGAGGAGAACTACGGGGGAAAACACTGACCTCGTACTTTTTCTTTAACTAAATGTGATTGCTACATTGTTTTATATTGTACAACACTTCCTACAGTCCGGATCCGAGTCACATGATCTCTGTATTGTGGTTGCCGCCTCCCATTTCCTCTCCCCGGTGTCTCCAGTTCTGAGGAATGTTGGTGGTTCGGATTGTTGATTCTCGCTGTAGTAGATGACACCAGCGGGTTATTGTCTTTGTAGCCGTGGTGACGTGTTGTCTGCTTTCCGTTCCCATCCACACGCAGGTGTACCCCGATTTTAAGATCACCAACGTGGTGGAAGCCAACCAGCCGGTCAGCATCGATAACTGGTGCAAGAAGGGGAAGAAGAACTGCAAGGGCCACAGCCACATCGTAGTGCCCTACAAGTGTCTAGGTGAGCATCTGCACCCCCATCATCCCTACAAAACTCCACACGTACACTACAACCCCAATCCTCCACCTACAGGGCCCTACAAGTGTCTAGGTGAGCATCTGCACCTGAGACCCGATGACCCCCCCTACAGGAACAGAGAGGGAACTCCGGAAACTCAACACGCTTACAATAGACACAGCAATCTGCCATAGGATTTGTATTTCTGTCCATCCAGTCCTGAGGTTTACACAGCTCTGTCACACAGCTCAGCAGAAGACGCCGTTTTCTGTTACTATTATAGACTGGGGAAGGAATTCCCTGGAGATCCCGCCAGTTACAGCACTTCCTGTTGCAGGCTGACCATGCTCTCGCACTGCCTCCCTATAAGCAGCAGCCCTGCCAGTCTGCCCCGCGTGCTCCGGAGCCGTGCCCTCAGTGTAAGACGTATTTTGGGAGTTGGGGAGCTTAGATCTGATTTAAAGGAGAACTATGCGGGGAGTGATTTACGCTCATCCTGATAGATGGAGACGACGTGTGACAATGCAACTGTCGCAGGTCGGCTCAATAGATCGGGAAGTGAGGGAACACATACAGGCGTTCGCTCACCTCTCGATCATCTCCCTGCAGAGAGTGGTGACTCACGGCTCCCTGCAGGTATTCTCCCCGCTCCGATCCTCCAGCGCTGACTGGCGGAACGGACGGGGGAGGGGGCGGGTACAGCTGGCTCTGCCTCTAGATAGGAGGAGCCAGCTGTCAGTCATGCAGCTGGGCGGATCTCGACAGCGATGTCGGGATCCGCTCCGGCTGCGGCGTCTCAGTATACCGCGAGCTGTAGCTCCCTATATACTGAGCCTAGGGTGACGGGAGGACGCTAGTTTGTGGCCTCCCGTTACCCTGAGGAGAACTACGGGGGAAAACACTGACCTCGTACTTTTTCTTTAACTAAATGTGATTGCTACATTGTTTTATATTGTACAACACTTCCTACAGTCCGGATCCGAGTCACATGATCTCTGTATTGTGGTTGCCGCCTCCCATTTCCTCTCCCCGGTGTCTCCAGTTCTGAGGAATGTTGGTGGTTCGGATTGTTGATTCTCGCTGTAGTAGATGACACCAGCGGGTTATTGTCTTTGTAGCCGTGGTGACGTGTTGTCTGCTTTCCGTTCCCATCCACACGCAGGTGTACCCCGATTTTAAGATCACCAACGTGGTGGAAGCCAACCAGCCGGTCAGCATCGATAACTGGTGCAAGAAGGGGAAGAAGAACTGCAAGGGCCACAGCCACATCGTAGTGCCCTACAAGTGTCTAGGTGAGCATCTGCACCCCCATCATCCCTACAAAACTCCACACGTACACTACAACCCCAATCCTCCACCTACAGGGCCCTACAAGTGTCTAGGTGAGCATCTGCACCCCCCTTCATTCCTACAAAACTCCACACGTACACTACAACCCCAATCCTCCACCTACAGGGCCCTACAAGTGTCTAGGTGAGCATCTGCACCCCCCTTCATTCCTACAAAACTAATCATAGACACTACAACCCCAATCCTCTACTACAGGGCCCTACAAGTGTCTAGGTGAACATCTGCACCCCCATCATCCCTACAAAACTCCACACGTACACTACAACCCCAATCCTCCACCTACAGGGCCCTACAAGTGTCTAGGTGAGCATCTGCACCCCCCTTCATTCCTACAAAACTCCACACGTACACTACAACCCCAATCCTCCACCTACAGGGCCCTACAAGTGTCTAGGTGAGCATCTGCACCCCCCTTCATTCCTACAAAACTAATCATAGACACTACAACCCCAATCCTCCACTACAGGGCTGAAACATTTCTGACATGAGCAGGCAGCCTGAGAATTCACCGGGCGACACCGCTGAGGTGCAGCCTACCCTCCAGTCTTGGTGAGCGGGGGGATGTGAATACACATTCCCCAAAGACTGATGTCATTTTATATCCTCTAGACCTAATATATGGCGGTCTCCATTCACAAAGCTGTAACGCGGCGGGGATAAGGATCTTTATTTTCATGCGTCTGTCTTGGCTGGAAATAAGGATCCTTATCTTTTTGTGTTGGCTTTGTGCATTGAGCCCTTCGTGTCAGAGAGATTTCACCTTCAAATCTTCCGTCATGTTTTTATTGCCCTTCACGATGTTCCATTTGTGGAGATTTGAAGTTGCGTTTGCCCCGTGCCGTCCCCCCCGGTCCTGTAAACGGCAGTCCACTGTGCTGACCTTTGCTGACCTGCTGCTCGTAGCGCTGTGTGCCGGGCCGGCTCTGCGGCCTCATGAAATTCTCGCCCGAGGCAAGACGTCATGCGCCCCGCCCCCAGGATGGCGGCCAAATCTAAAATAGCATAAAAATTTGTTTCATTTGACGGAACTGACATTTTTTTTTTAGTTTTCGTTCATTTCGTCCGAAACACATTTTTAGTCTTAGCACAGGTCTAGTAATGTGTGATTGGGGGGTGGTTTTTGTTTTTTTAAATATTTATTTTACTGTTGGGGGCTTCTGGGAAATATTAGGGGTCTAAACAGACCCCCGACATTTCCCTTTTGAAATAGAAAAAGAGATTGAGGACACGGAGTCCTCGGCCCGTACAGGGGGGGGGTGAGCAGCGGGGATCAGAGGAGAAGCTGGATCCTGTGCGCCGCGGCTGTGTTGGCCTGTGCTCGCCCTGTGCTCGCCATGGCAACAGGGGCAAGGGGGCGCAGCCAGACTGGCCCTGGCTGCGCCCTGTCTTAGCTGCGCCTTAGGCAAGTGCCTCCCTCGCCCCATGGTAGCTACAGCCCTGCTCAAAGTCCGTCGGTGTTCTGGTGTATATATGAGCAGCCTCACCGGAGAGATCTCCGATAATAGGGCCGTCCTCCCTATCGCCAGGCACCAGCAATGGAAGATCCAGCGCTTCACTTTGTATGCACTTTGTGAAATTCTGAGACCTCGTGGAATAAATCACACAGCGGTAACGGCAGTCACCTCAGAATTTATGCCGTCGGTTTGTACGCACGACCGATCGGCGCGTCAAGGTCAGAGCTGTTGGTTAGCCGGAGTCATGTCCAGTAATGATTTATTGAGCGCCAACGGTCACGGTTTTCTGACTGTCACGGCAAACGGGGGAAGCTGTTAATTCTGAATTAATTTCCGTGCATGTGACTCTCTGCGCGGTCCGGGCCCAAGATTCATACACGCTACTGGTCACGTCTTCTCTATTCGCATGTATAGTTTCATATTGCTGAGCTTTGGGTCTCCCCAGCAAACCGGAGCAGAGATCAGGAAATGCAAAAACATAAATCAATAACAATGTAAATATATAAATCATAGAAACTGGTCATCCCTCTGACTCGTCTTCATTATTTACTATGAAATTGTTCTGCAGTATTGTTTCTCCCTCAGTGAATCCTCGGTGAATCCTCTCTGCCCGCGCACAGATATCGAGGGCCGTTGTGCAGGTTCTCACGCTCAGGGCAGCCATCAGAAATTTTGAGGCCCCTTACATGGCTTTAGGCCGGGCCCCCCGCGCCGCTGGACGCAGGGCTTAGTGACGTGCTGGACGCAGGGCTTAGTGGCGCAATGGACACAGGACCCACCTGAGAGTGACCCTGCAGAGCCCACCATAGATGCTGCACAGCCCATCTGAGACTGTCTATGGTGGGCTGGTCAGGGCTGCATCCCTCCCTCCTGTCCTTCCTTCCTAGCTCCTCTTACCTGCACACGTGGCCTCATCTGCCGATGGACCAACCAGAAGTGACGTTACTTCCGGCCAGCCCGACATCAGACGAGCAGCGTCGCTGATGGGGCCTGAGCTTGTCTCAAAGCCGCTGGAGCGGCCATGCTGGGGCCCTGCGCTGCTAGGGCCAGGCCTCCACCTCCTCGCCCTTCACCGTCGGCCGATAGTCATGTAAGGGACCCGGACGGGCCCCCCAGGCTGCCCGGGCCCCTTACATGAGTATCGGACGTACCCCCCCTGATGGCTGCCCTGCTCACGCTGGACAACTATTGTGGCCTTGATTGGGCTTCGATGGGATATAGTTAACATTTTTAGTGTTGGTTAACACCAGAAACTGCATCACAACTGCCTGCGTCTTGCGCGGTTGCATTGCAATCTATTTTGACGTGTTTGTGATGCGTTCAGATGCGTTTTTTCCCCTGGATGATGCCACAATCCTGTGGGTTTTTTTATATGCGTTTGTATGCGTTTCGGTGCAGTTAGATGTAGCTAAAATAGGACAATCGGTACTCTTTCTGAACGGACTGCAATGGTGTAAATACAGCAACGAGAAAGCCCATAGGAAAGCATTGTGATGTGTTTTGGCTGCATCAGTCACACTGAAGGGACTGCATGACAACTGCATATGGTGTGAACTAGCCCTCGACAATCTCTCCAGCATCAGATGACCTGCAGGTGTCAGTCTGACCTCCATGAGCATTCTGACCTCCCATGAGAAGATTTCAAATGCAGATAAAATGCATTTCACACATTTTATTGTGAAGACAGAGCCACAGAGTCATAAAGACATTTTGGGGCATCTCGGGTTCCCTTCCTCCAGGTGATATAATGATTATTGTACGGAGGAAAGGACTTTGCAAGACCCGGTAACATCCGCTTTCTTAGTTCTGGTGCTTTGGTGTCATCTTGCCTGGTTTTGGCTCGGGCCCGTCCATAGTAATCACTATTAAAGGGTCAAGTACTGTGAGGAGCGCAGCTTCCGTCTGATCTCCCTGACGCCCGGTACTGACGGCTGTGCTTTTTGTTTGCAGTGGGCGACTTTGTCAGCGATGTTCTGCTGGTCCCTGAGAAGTGCAAGTTCTTCCACAAGGAGCGGATGGATCTTTGCGAGAGTCACCAGTACTGGCAGAACGTGGCTCGAGAGGTAAGGGACTGAGATGAGAGGATCGTCCTGTGTTATCAGCAAAGTACAGGATGGCTTGGGGCGAGGATGACTCCTAGAAGAACAAATCATCTGATATCTGGCAAAGCCATCATGGATAGGAGGAGATGGTGGAGGGGCTCCCGGGCTGTTGGGATTTGCAGAGGAAACTGTAAATTAGAGTTCAGACGTATTGCAGCTGTAATGTACAATTTATACTATTAATGGCGGGATTTTATAATACTGACCTGATTGTCATTCAAATTAAGTGAAGATACCTTTACCTAGAGAAGCCGGTCCTCGGTAAAATGTTCATCCCAAACACTGGGATTACAGTGGTACCTCTGTTCACGAACTTAATTGGTTCCACGATCCTGGTTGCGAACCGAATTAAATTTTCCCGTCCATAGGGTTCAATGTGAATCAGGTTAATCCATTCTGACCCATATGGAAAAAAATAATAATTTAACCACAAGTTTCTTTTTTACCACCATTCTTGCTCTGCACATTCTTGTCACCTTCATTACCGCTCTGCACATTCTTGTCAACTTCATTACCGCTCTGCACATTCTTGTCAACTTCATTACCGCTCTGCACATTCTTGTCACCTTCATTAAAGGAGAACTATGAGGGGAGTGCTTTTCACTCACCTCATAGTTCTAGCCAACCTGTGACAATGAGACTGTCACAGGTCGGCTCAGTAGATCGGGAAGTGAGGGAACACATACCGGCGTTCGCTCACCTCTCGATCCTGTCATGGCTCTCTGCCGTGACAGGGGAGGGGCTGGATTCCCCCCTACCTGCTCCGATCTGCCAGCGCTGACCGGGGGAGGGGGGCGGGTACAGCTGGCTCTGCCTCTAGATAGGCAGAGCTAGCTGTCAGTCACGCAGCTGGGCGGATCCCGGCACATTTGTCGGGATCCGCTTCAGCTGCGGCGTCTCAGTATACCGTGAGCTGTAGCTCCCTATATACTGAGCTTAGGGTGATGGGAGGACGCTAGTTTGTGTCCTTCCATTACCCTGAGGAGAACTATGGGGGAAAGTCCTGACATCATAGTTCTCCTTTAATGCTCTGCACTTTCTTGGGCGTTATGCTAGATGGAATACAGTAATACCGTACAATACTGTGCTACAAAGCTTCACAGTAAGTGTCCACAGCCCTGTCTGCGACCGCAATCTCGGGTGCCGGAAGCCACGACCATGTGTCGGAGTGGGGAAGATGGCCGCGTTCGTCACCCGAGGCAGAGTTCGCGAACGGAGGCAAAATTTTGACGACTTCCTGGTCGCCAACCAAATTGTTTGTGAACCGAAGTACCACTGTAGAGCGAAACTCCTTTTCAGTAATACTTCTCGAGATGTTCCAGGAACATATATGGAGATAGTAGAGGAACAATAATGGTCCCCCAGGACATGTTGCCTATACAAGTGGAAGAGTTGCCAAATAGTTTATAATCTACGGGAAAGTGCAATAACCTGAATGTGCCTCCATTGTAGGACTGTAATACAGATAGTTTTAGTTCCGTTGTATAGGATGTGGTTGCGTGGACTTTGTTTGAAGGTTCAGCCCGAGAGGTGACAGACCAGGTAGCCGGTGGAGGATCAGGCGATAAATTTGACACCCTGACCCTCTTCTCCACAGGCCTGTGTGACGGAGGTCATGGTCCTCCATAGTTACGGGATGCTTCTTCCATGTGCTGTTGACCAGTTCCGCGGCACAGAGTACGTCTGCTGTCCTCAGGCCAAGAAACTGGTAGAGCCTCTATCTAAAGAGGAGGAGGATGAAGAGGAGGAAGAGGAAGACGAGGATGACTATGAAGCGTACAAAAGGTTAGTTTTATCTTCATAAGAACGTCTCCAACTTCACGCCATGTTGTTTCCTAGAGCCATGGCTGGCCTGGTGTGTTTTCCTATGTTTTGCGTCTCACCCTCAGCGATCACTCATTATGGTTGCCGTCTTTTACACTTTATTCCCTTTTTCCCCCCAGTGAATTCCCAACCGAGGCTGACGTAGAAGACTTCACAGTCGCAGTGGAGGATGAAGACGAAGAGGTGGAGAATGAAGATGATGTTGTAGAAGATCGCGATTATTATTATGACAATTACAAGGATGAGGACGAGTATAATGATGAGACGCCCACACAGGGCACCAATGGGCGGACAATGTCCGATAAAGACATTGTCACTGACGTGAAAGGTGAGGGTGTGACTGACGGCTGACCAAGCCGCCTCTATGTTGTTGCCCAGGAAAAAAAATTGTGGAAATTCGTTTAGTTCCACATTTTGGAATTTTTCTGACAAGACCCTGAATAGTGAAGGCTTTAAAAAAACACCGCCAGCGGAGGGCAAAGGACTATTGCCTGTGATGTCCCTGCTGCTGATCTTCTATTACAGACTACCATCAGGGCAGCCATAAGAAATTTTGGGGCCCCTTACGTGGCTTTAGGCCGGGCCCCCCCCGTGCCGCTGGACGCAGGGCTTAGTGACGCGCTGGGCGCAGGACCCACCTTACGTCTCCAACTTCACGCCATGTTGTTTCCTAGAGCCATGGCTGGCCTGGTGTGTTTTCCTATGTTTTGCGTCTCACCCTCAGCGATCACTCATTATGGTTGCCGTCTTTTACACTTTATTCCCTTTTTCCCCCCAGTGAATTCCCAACCGAGGCTGACGTAGAAGACTTCACAGTCGCAGTGGAGGATGAAGACGAAGAGGTGGAGAATGAAGATGATGTTGTAGAAGATCGCGATTATTATTATGACAATTACAAGGATGAGGACGAGTATAATGATGAGACGCCCACACAGGGCACCAATGGGCGGACAATGTCCGATAAAGACATTGTCACTGACGTGAAAGGTGAGGGTGTGACTGACGGCTGACCAAGCCGCCTCTATGTTGTTGCCCAGGAAAAAAAATTGTGGAAATTCGTTTAGTTCCACATTTTGGAATTTTTCTGACAAGACCCTGAATAGTGAAGGCTTTAAAAAAACACCGCCAGCGGAGGGCAAAGGACTATTGCCTGTGATGTCCCTGCTGCTGATCTTCTATTACAGACTACCATCAGGGCAGCCATAAGAAATTTTGGGGCCCCTTACGTGGCTTTAGGCCGGGCCCCCCCCGTGCCGCTGGACGCAGGGCTTAGTGACGCGCTGGGCGCAGGACCCACCTGAGAGTGACCCTGCAGAGCCCACCATAGATTCTGCACAGCCAATCTGAGACTGTCTATGGTGGGCTGGTCAGGGCTGCATCCCTCCCCTCCCTCCTTTCCTTCCTTCCTAGCTCCTCTTACCTGCACACATGGCTTTGTCTGCCGCCGGACCGGCCAGAAGTGACGTCACTTCCGGCCAGTCCGACATCACACGAGCAGCGTCGCTGATGGGGCCCTAACTTGTCTCAAAGCCGCTGGAGCGGCAATGCTGGGGCCCTGTGCTGCTAGGGCCAGGCCTCCGCCTCCTCGCCCTTCACCGTCGGCCGATAGTCATTTAAGGGACCCGGGCAGGCCCCCAGGCTGCCCGGCCCCTTACATGAGTATCGGCCTTCCCCCCCCTGATGGCTGCCCTGACTACCATACCCTGTTCTACATGGTGTCTCTATCTGCTGGTTATATTGCTCTGAGATTGAAAGGCCGCCCCATGAGATGATGGTTCAGGTAAAAATGTATTCCAATGTAAGATTAGATTAAAGACTTTAGAAAGAGCCAAGGCATCCCGGGGGTTAGAAGTTACCCCCGCCTACATCAGGATAGGAAAAAACAATGGGGGGACTTAATCAAAACTGGAGCAGAAAAATCTGGAGCAGTTGCCTATGGCAACCAATCAGCTTCTCTCCAGTTTGTTCAGTTAACATTTGAAAATGAAAGGTGGATGCTGATTGGTCGCCATAGGCAACTGCTCCAGTTTTGATAAATTCCCCCCCATTGTGTGTGGACTGGAATAGGAATGTATTATGTGATCTTTTAAACCAATTGCCTGATAAAGCACAGTGCTCCTCCGCATAGTTTATCCTAAAGCCCAGATGAGGGGGTGGGGGGGGGGGATTCTAGCCCAGGAAATGGCCCTTTTTAAAAAGTCTCCTGTTCTCTTACATTGGAATAAGGGAACAAGTTTGTATCTGGACTATGAACTCGTAGTGCCTCTTCATTCTCAGATCCATATAGTTGCATTACAAACCAAGCAAACTGGGGATGTCCTGTGGTTTGTAGAAGCTGCCAACCCTGATCTAGACCCCCTCCTATCCGCTGAGATAATACCAATAGGATAATCAAGGGCCCCAATACATTCCTTCAAGTCTCTGTGCGGCCATCTTGGTAGAGCAGGTTTTTGCTTCCTCGTGCCAGAGTGGCCCCCCGATTTGTGAGAAGCAGAAGACAACTGTCCACAGAATGAATGAAGCAGGGAGATCCTTGCAGTGCAGGTCCTCGGGTACGGCTTCCTCTTCAGCAAGGAGAATAGTGAGCAGCACACAGGTGACATCACCGAAACTCCTGAGACCGGCAGTCAGAGGCAGCAGAGCCTTGGATGATCTCACACTGCAGATATACAGCTCTGAGGATACAGAACAGGCATTCCGAGACACAGGTAGTTCACCAATATCAGGAGTACCTAGGCACAGGAAGAGCTTTGCTGTTTATTAGGAGAAATTCCAGGTGAAAGGTACTTTTGCGGTACGACTTAGTCACATTAACATGATGATCCCTAGAAGACGGCTTCCCTTTTTTTTTAAATCCTCACCCACTTTAAAGGGCTGCACCATTCTAAGGACTCCTGTATGTAAAAACATTCACCTTCCTTGAGAATGGATAGAGGTGTGCATGTCTTGGGATACGAGAACCAATCGGAACAGATCTGCTGTTTTTAGAACATGACTGTGCTGATTGAGGTGAGTCTGTCCATCATATTCCCCATGGTAGGTGCTGCTTCACACAGACTGGTGTAGAGACACCTGAAGCCATATTGGACCAGTCTTCTGAGCGGGCATTGAGGGTTTAGACTTGGCCCCGTCCTCCAGGTTTCTTCTCCTCAGTCTTGTCTGTTCATTGATATGGAGGGTGAAGTTTTGATGCAGCTCCTCGCCTCTGACGCTCACCTCCCGCTGTTTGTGACCCGTCTCCTCACAGTTGTCTGCTCTCAAGAGGCCGAAACTGGGCCCTGCCGCGCCATGTTTCCGCGCTGGTACTTCGACCCTCAACAGAAAAAGTGTGTCCGGTTTATTTATGGCGGCTGCGGTGGCAACAGGAACAATTTTGAGTCGGAGGACTATTGCATGGCAGTTTGCAAAGTCACGAGTAAGTCGCAGGGGGGGCCCCCGGCCTCCTATCTTGGGGAGCCAGTTCGCCAGGTTGATTATGGTGACACCGGCCTGTCTTTTTTTTAACCCTTTTCATCCCCAAAGTCATCCATCTTAACATCCATTTAATTGCTATATCGCTGCACAGAGGACCAAGTGCCGTGTGCACAGTGAAGTGAGCCGTCCTGAGGACAGAGCAACATTCAGGGTAGATCCTCCTGTGACCTGTTGTTGGTGCCTAACCTGAATGTTGGTTCATTCTCAGCGGCTTCTGCTTTTGCTTTCCGGGTGAACTTAACATGCTTTCTGGCTGGCCTGGTGCGGCCTGTAACACAATTGCTGGTACCCTCTGCTGTTCGTGGAGTGAAAGAGGTAAAGACTCCCAACATGTACGCAGTGTCATTGCTGCTCCTTAACCACGTCTGTTTCTCCTCCCCGTTGCTTTCTGCGCCATCTGTTCCTCGATCTCCATAGAATCCTCGTCCTTGCTTTTTCCTCTGATCTGCAGCCGGGAGTGTCTGAGTCTGTCTGATGAGTTTTATATATGTGTGTGAGTGTGTATATATGTATATTATATATATATATATATATATATATATATATATATATATATATATATATATATATATATATATATATATATATATATATATATATATATATATATATATATATATATATATATATATATATATATATATATATATATATATATATATATATATATATATATATATATATATATATATATATATATATATATATATATATATATATATATATATATATATATATATATATATATATATATATATATATATATATATATATATATATATATATATATATATATATATATATATATATATATATATATATATATATATATATATATATATATATATATATATATATATATATATATATATATATATATATATATATATATATATATATATATATATATATATATATATATATATATATATATATATATATATATATATATATATATATATATATATATATATATATATATATATATATATATATATATATATATATATATATATATATATATATATATATATATATATATATATATATATATATATATATATATATATATATATATATATATATATATATATATATATATATATATATATATATATATATATATATATATATATATATATATATATATATATATATATATATATATATATATATATATATATATATATATATATATATATATATATATATATATATATATATATATATATATATATATATATATATATATATATATATATATATATATATATATATATATATATATATATATATATATATATATATATATATATATATATATATATATATATATATATATATATATATATATATATATATATATATATATATATATATATATATATATATATATATATATATATATATATATATATATATATATATATATAATATACATATATACACACACACACATACACACACATACGATGCTGGTAGTTTTCATATCTCCGTCTTCTTGCAGATAAAACGCAATTGAGAATTACATTGACCATTTCATTTTATATTGTCAAATGTTTGTAACCCCTTCATGACCGTGTGTGTGTGGCCAGTGGAATGACCACAGTCTGTAGTGACAAAGGACAGTGATCACCATTTGGGAGCCAATGTGTTTAGCTTTCAAAGGCTTAAAGTGACATTAAACCCTCAGATTTTTTTAACATAAAACAATACTGTAATGTCTCCTTCCTGTAATCCATGGTTGTTTCCCTTTTCTTTGCTGCTCTTCCTTTTAAATCCTCATGTCTTCTCATGCTGGGGGAGAACTTCCCTTTGCAGCTGAATGCCTCTTCCTGTAGTGCTGGCTCACGTTACAAGCCTATACAAATCTATACACAGACACCGTGTATCCATTCCTGAGACAAGGCAGTCTGCTGCAAAACAGAAGTTCTGCAGAGCATGAGAAGACATGAGGATTTAAAAGGAAGAGCAGCAAAGAGAAGGGAAACAACCATGGATTACAGTAAGGCGCACATTACAGTATTGTTTTATGTTAAGAAATCTGAGGGTTTAATGTCACTGTAATAGCGAACAACCCGGGGAGTGTTCAGCATATGTAAGCATTGCTGGGGCAAGTTCCTTTTAGCACCCAAGGCAAGAAGTCTAAAGTGGCCTTCCTCAGGCTGTGAGCTGCTTTATCAGTATCGGTTGCGGGTCTGGCTCTTTTTGCAACCTCATCCTGCTGAAGTGCCCAAAATGGCCACCTAGCCCTTGGTACATGAGCATGCAAGCAATTGCACACCTTGATTTGCACGCATGTGATGGCTCCTGTGGATAAAGGGGAAGATTTCAGGTGTGAAGTGGCGCTGCTTTGCTCTTGGCCGGCCTTGGTGAAGTAAGATGAGCACTTTGTAAGCCGAGAGGGTCATTTTAAGGCGCCAGTTATACCGGCACAAATTGCCTCATGTAACCGATACAGACCATACGTCAGGCCAGAATTCATCATAATAATCCATTTAGTCTTTCGTAAAATGGACGCCGGTCACCTGACACTTATTTTTATTGGGTATTGTGGATCCTCTGTGTCATCAGGGGAAGGGCGAGCTTCGTCTGGATCCGCTGCAAGGGTCTGGATTGATGCTACTAGTCTGCAGCTCTTCTCTGGCAGAAGCTGGTGTGCAGACGGCTACAGGAAGCCGAGCCCCAAAAAGCCGAAATCTGGGTGCATGGAACCGGCTAGCCAGGCACAATTTAGGGCAGGCGGTGGTCCGGCAGAGCTGTGACACGGGACCAGACAGGTGATCAAATGAAGACAAGTAGACACCAGCGGGTCTGTCGGGGGAGGATGTTCAGACATCAAACAGAATTTATATTTGCTGCATTCACCGTTTTGGGCAGATGGGGAAAATACATGAACGGAATAGCTGGCCATGGAGGAGGTGACCACAGGAGGGCTTGGGGGGTGCCTGCCAGAGCAAGAGGGGGGGATAGCCAATCGCGTCTCGCCTACCATTTAGTCTGCAACACCAATTGATTAAAGCAGGTCAGTTATTGGCTGCTGCGGATTACAGCGCAGCTCATGAGTCTCGCTAAACCTCAATCTTAAAGTGACATTAAACCCTGAGATTGTGTAACATAAACCAATACTGTAATGTGCGCCTTACTGTAATCCATTGTTGTTTCCCTTCTCTTTGCTGCTCTTCCTTTTAAATCCTCATGTCTTCTCATGCTGGGGGAGAACTTCTGTTTTGCAGCAGACTGCCTTGTCTCTGGAATGGATACACGGTGTCTGTGTATAGGTTCACAACCTGAGCCAGCACTACAGGAAGAGGCACTCAGCTGCAAAGGGAAGTTCTCCCCCAGCATGAGAAGACATGAGGATTTAAAAGGAAGAGCAGCAAAGAGAAGGGAAACTACCATGGATTACAGGAAGGCGCACATTACAGTATTGGTTTATGTTAAAAAATCTGAGGGTTTCATGTCACTTTAAGTCAGCTGACCTCTTCACTTAGTTTCTTTGCTTGTAGGAGGTTTTAGTTCTTGGTTTGGTTATATTTTTGTCTGGAATTGTCACGAATCCTGAAACTGAGCTTAGAAATGACTTTAGTTCTCCCAGTTTTGTGACCTCGAAGGACAGACATGTGACCTGAGATTGCAGAGTTGTCGTGTCATCTCGTCATGTGTCCCCCGCACGTTGCAATGTGTAATAATGGAGACCCGAGGCCTCCCTGTGATGATCTCGGCAGTGTTATGCCCCTGGATCCACCATTTTGCTGAAGCTCGCCCTCCGCGCTGTAGATATCGCGGTGTGTTTGTTGCGAATGGCGGTTACAGCTGACGCAGTAGAAGGACGTTGTGCTTCTTTCTCACTTTCTTCCCCTTCGCCGCCTCTAATCCAATGTCCGGGCCGGGGATTCCTAGTTGAGGAAGTTGAATAATTATTTCTTTCCGTCCTCCAGTCCCTGCCACCTCTGCTCCCTCTGATGACGTGGACGTCTATCTGGAGACCCCGGCCGATGACAACGAGCACGCTCGCTTCCAGAAAGCCAAAGAGCAGCTGGAGGTGCGACACCGCAACAGGATGGACCGGGTGAGTGCGGTGGCCTGGTGAGCGGGTGCGGTGGAGGCTGCCCGGCCACTTTGGGGTAGCTGTGTTCTAATTCTCCTCCCACCTTCCAGGCAAAGAAAGAATGGGAGGAAGCCGAACGCCAGGCCAAGAACATGCCAAAAGCTGAGAAACAGACCCTCATGCAGGTAAGTGGCTCTCTATTCCGGATTTTGGGGTTACGTTTAGCTGATAACAGTAAATGTTCTATACCGGGTAACTCAATTCCTGGCAATCTTCCAGGGCAGCACATTATAATCTAGACCCGCTGTACAGTGGATATAAACCCTCACAGTGAACCTTTCTAATATGCTCCCTTTGGTCTGGAGTGGCAGTGTTTATCGGTTTGATCCTGCCAGAAATCCTGGGCTGCCCTGTGCACTCTACAAGGTTTTATTAAAGTTTCTTTTTTACCACCATTCTTGCTCTGCACATTCTTGTCACCTTCATTACCGCTCTGCACATTCTTGTCACCTTCATTACCGCTTTGCACATTCTTGTCAACTTCATTACCGCTCTGCACATTCTTGTCACCTTCATTAAAGGAGAACTATGAGGGGAGTGCTTTTCACTCACCTCATAGTTCTAGCCGACCGGTGACAATGAGACTGTCACAGGTCGGCTCAGTAGATCGGGAGGTGAGCGAACACATACCGGCGTCCACTCACTTCTCGATACTGTCACTCACGGCTCCCTGCAGGGATTCCCCCTGCTCCGATCCTCCAGCGCTGACTGGTGGAACGGACGGGGAAGGGGGCGGGTACAGCTGGCTCTGCCTTTAGATAGGCGGATCCAGACATAATTGTTGGGATGTGCTTCAGCTGCGGCGTCTCAGTATACTGCGAGCTCCAGCTCCCTATATACTGAGCCTAGGGTGACGGGAGGACGCTAGTTTGTGTCCTCCCGTTACCCTAAGGAGAACTATGGGGAAAAGCCCTGACCTCGTAGTTCTCCTTTTAAACATTACCACCCTGCCCAGTCCTTCCCTTCTTGTCTAAAGAACCCCCCCCCCTAATGTTACGGAGCCGGGGAGGTTAGTATATCACCTTGAGGAGGGGACCATGCGAGGTTCTGAACCCTGGTATTCTTTGGACTGTATGTGATGTCTTTACAATAAATACTTGAAGCACATTTGTATTTGGAGTGCTGGTGACGTGGTGACTGGTTCCAGCATGGCACCATTTGTAGCAATCACTTCAGTTACAAGAGTCATGAACTATGAGAAGTGGAGCTTCTGTTTGGTGAGACCCGGCATTGAGTGCAGGTCCCCAGTGCTGTCGGTTGTAGCTTTTGCTGCATTCGAATGTTTCTTTGTATAACGTTGTGCAGGTGAAGTGCCGACTCTGCGTTTTCTGTACATTAGAGACCTGGAGATCCGTTTCCTTCACTCCCTCATCCCTCATTGATCCGGCCTGCATTGCTGTATACAATATGGATGCATTCCAGGCCGCGGCAAGCCAAGCAGAAGACTGGCCGGAGAGTCAGCAGATTTGTGCGTGATCAGGAAGTGCTCCTCGTCCGCTCACCTTCTTGGCGTCGGCCCCAGACAGCCGAATAAAAAATGACAATCTGTCTGAATCGTTCGGGTTTCTCCGCATTCCATTTCCTTCCTGCTGCGCTTCTTCCGTCCCATTACCTCAGGATCAGATGAGGATCCACTTGTACCGGGTTCTCAGTATCTCAAGTGTGGGTTTTGTCATGAGAGTTCTATTAGCGTCCTTCCCTTCCAGCGCGGTGTAACTGTATGCGTTTCCGCCGGTGACTTTGTGTAATTATCGGCGTCACGGCTAATGAGCCTTCTACGATGAGGAAGGTCGGGCAGTGAAAGCAGAAGCGGCTAATGACATTCACCTGACATCCGACTAATGGAAGTTTTAACCCTGTGCGGTGATTGGGCGTCCTCGGCGTCGCCGGTCACATTGTCCTCGTCGGTAATCCTCTTGTCTTTTTTTTGTAGCATTATCAGGCCACGGTGAAGGCTCTGGAGAAGGAGGCCGCTCATGAGAAGCAGCAGCTCGTGGAGACCCATCTGGAACGCGTGGAGGCCATGCTGAATGATAGACGCCGCATCGCCCTGGAGAACTACCTGTCAGCCCTGCAGGCCGAACCCCCTCGTGTGAGTGACATTGATGTCTTTTTTACGTAGCGCTCCATAGAGGTCATCAAGCCATGCTCACTGGGAAGTGCTATTAGGGATTATACCAATTTACTGGGTTTCTGTGCGGGTTGATACTGGGTGCCTGTGCGGGTTGATACTGGGTGCCTGTGCAGGCTTGTGCTAGGGTGCCTGTGCGGGTTGATACTGGGTGCCTGTGCAGGCTTATGCTAGGGTTCCTGCGTGGGCTTATGCTGGGGTTCCTGCGCGGGCTTATGCCGGGGTTCCTGCGCGGGGCTTATGCAGGGGTTCCTGCGCGGGGCTTATGCCGGGGTTCCTGCGCGGGCTTATGCCGGGGTTCCTGCGCGGGCTTATGCTGGCTTTGTATACAAAAAATGGTTTATTCAGTAATTCCTCACATGGATAGTGTACATTGATCTCACATATATACATCTGAAGTAATGATCTCCTCTCCATGATACATGAACAGACTTCTGGGCTTTGGCTTTATATAATCATTTTGGTGGCGGTAAAAACGTGTGGGAAAGGTTTCTCCGGCTTCCATGTCTTGCTAATCTTTTGTGTGGATCTCTCGCAGCCTCACCGCATCCTGCAGGCCCTGAAGAAGTACGTCCGAGCAGAGAACAAGGACAGGCTGCACACCATCCGCCATTACGAGCATGTTCTGACCGTGGATCCGGAGAAAGCGGCACAGATGAAGTCCCAGGTAGGGAGGTGTCGGTAGCTCTATGCGTGATCTTGTTTTGCTCCTGGAGGAAAAGATTGAACCTTCACTTACAGAAAGGCTTCATCATCATCGGATCTGTAGAACTGTGGAATAGGAGCTGAAATAAAGCGAAACCGAGTGCAGAAAATATGAATGAAAGGCACTTAAAGTGGAGAGTTAAAGGAGAACTACGAGGTCAGGGCTTTTCCCCATAGTCCTCCTCAGGGTGACGGGGGGGACACAAACTAGCGTCCTCCCGTCACCCGAGGCTCAGTATATAGGGAGCTACAGCTCGCGGTATACTGAGACGCCGCAGCCGGAGCGGATCCCGACAATTGTGCCGGGATCCTCCCAGCTGCGTGAGTGACAGCTGGCTCCTCCTATCTAGAGGCAGAGCCAGCTGTACCCGCCCCCTCCCCCGTCCGTTCCGCCATTCAGCGCTGGAGGATCGGAGCGGGGAGGGGGGAATCCAGCCCCTCCCCTGTCACGGCAGAGAGCAGTGACAGGATCGAGAAGTGAGCGAGCGCCGGTATGTGTTCTCTCACCTCCCGATCTACTGAGCCGACCTGTGACAGTCTCATTGTCACAGGTCGGCTAGAACTATGAGGTGACTGAAAAGCCCCTCCCCCTCCACCTCATAGTTCTCCTTTAATGAGAGCGTACATCATCAGGGACATGAACTCCATCACGCGTCGCGTCGGGTCACAGACACATAATCATCACTTCCTAGAAGCCGGCTACAAGAGCAATGATGGGAGAAAAGGGTATAACGTGCACGCTGGTGGCCATTGCCGGTCCTCTGGTTGTATTTAACCCTTTTGCTGCCACAGATGTAAGTACTCCATCCACGGTGGCTGTGCGCGGGCTTGTCGGCTTCCCATAGCGGCCGTGTGTCGGCTTTCAGGTACAAATGATTCACGGTCACCTTACATGAGCAGCCATCAGACTTCAGAACTACTTGTTATAGTCCCGCTGAAGTCTCCTGGAAGGATCTGTGTTTAATATTCCCTCCCCGATGTGACCCGGGACCATCACTCTTCCCGGCTTGTAGTAGGAAGTGATCACTTTGTGTTTGTACTGTATGGCATCCGATGGGAGTTATCCTACCTTGGTGGTATGTGCTGATCAATCACTACTTGACCCTAATTGCGTTGTGTACATTGAAGGGTCTTCTATCTGCTTTGTTTGGCTTTAGGAACGCTGTTAATGATGATCCAGGAAGTATCCGGTCCTCTGTGGGGTTCTGTTAATCATTGTACCGGTTAGAGCAGATTGGGGACACGTCGGAGTGTTTGCCTTCCCTTGGTTTGGGGTTCTGAGAACGTGACGGATTTTTTGTTTTGGTTGGACTTGGTGACCATTTTCTAACCTGATTATGTCATCAATTGTGAGGCGGGGGGGATGAGGGGGGGGTTGGGGTGGTGGTGCATGTTAAATGATGCAGCTCAGGAACAGAGTTTACACATTGGGGGGATTTCTGTGCAGGTCCGGAGCCCAGAGACGCCATGATGAGGTTTAGGTGAGCAGAGCCCGTATATGCCGGAGGGGTATTTGTCCCTGCCGCCCTCCTCTGTGCGACCCGTCAGTTAACGAGCGTTTGTTGCCCTGTCACAGCCTCGTGTTGCATGGCCGGCCATCTGTACAGTTTCCAGGTGTTTTCCTATGTAATGTAAACATGTCAGGTGAGAAGTCCTCCGCCTCTGTTTGTCTTTCCTCTCAGCATTGCGTACAATGGCTGCCGGTGGCGCAGGTGTGGCGTGCTGCTAGCTCCCCCTAGTGGCGCATTTGTCACGGCTCTAAAGCAATCTCTATTAATCTTCAGCATAAAATGGCTGCTAAGACATCCATTATGACTTCAGTCCATTGCAGTCATCCCTATACCCCGAGGAGATCCTTCATCTTCCCCAGGTGACATCTTATCTCTGTAAGGAAGGGGCCAGAATGTCCCCTGTTGGGGCTGATTGTGAAGGACGAGTTGATTTCCTCATCAGTACAATGTAATCATTCCGTATCCTGACCTGCTTCTGCATTATAAGAAGGGTGAAAGGAAACAACGTACGCAGATCAGTGCGGTTATTGTGCGATCGGAGAATAATCGGGTGAGGCGTTCAGCAGCAGACCCTACTGATGCGTCAGGGCCCATTCACACTAGATGCAGTGCGTTCCGGCCCGATTCTGGCCAGAACGCACTTCATTGCGGCCGGCTCACTTTTTAGTGGGGGCAGGAGGGGGCGTGGCTGGCCATTCAAGTGAATGGCACCGTAGCCACGCCCTCCGGCCGCACGGAATCGCAGGGCACATAGTGCTTGCAGCATTTTGATCGCACCGGACCAGACTGCAGGCACAATGTGCCTTGCGATCCCGTGCGGGCGACCGCATTGTGGCCCCCGGGGGCGTGGCTACGGTGCCATTCACTTGAATGGCCCGCCACGCCCCCTCCTGCCCCACTAAAAAGTGAGCCGGCCGCAATGCGAGGCAGTGCGTTTCCACCAGAATCGGGCCGGAACGCACTGCATCCGGTGTGAATGGGCCCTCCCTCATTCTTGACTCTTTGGTGCTTTTTCACTAAATTATAGAAAATTAGTAAATATGTAAAAAAAGCAATTCATCCGAATGTAAATGAGGAAGATTGGCCTCCAATCACGTGACAGCATGGCACTGGCAGCACATATATCCATCACTCTGTACAATGGTTAAATGGCACACTGACCGGGCCAAGATGTCTATTGTGGGTCACACGAGCTGTAATGGAGAGCACTTGGGGCGCCCAGGGTCATGGTGAGGTGCACTTGGTGCTTGTCAGACCACGGCAGAGGGCACTTGGTGCTTGTCAGACCACGGCAGAGGGCACTTGGTGCTTGTCAGACCACGGCAGAGGGCACTTGGTGCTTGTCAGACCACAGCAGAGGGCTCTCTGGGCTGTTGGCCTGTGGTGAAGAGTACTTGGGGCTTGCTGGTTTGCCCTGTGA